GCTGCCTATGCGTACACACCGAGTTAACGTGCGCCTCGTGTGCCGTATGCCACCCTATGCAGCTAGTAAGAGCGTGTGCAAGTCACAAGGAGAGGGCATACTGAAACAGGAGCCGGTACCGTGTAGCGATCCGAGGGTGCCGCATTCGCATCCGCCGTGTCGTATGCCACACGCCCACGGCGCGAGCTAGCGAAAGAGTGAGATGTCAGTGACAAGTTACGGGCGGTTTCAGCGACAACACACCTCACATATAGCAGATCTCGTACGGCGCAGGACGCAAGGTGCCGAAGCTCCCGATGTGCGAGGACCAGCGACAAGAAAGGAAGGAGGCTCGGCGAGGGGAGGGGAAGGTGGACATGTCTGCTAGGAGAGTGGGAGGAAAAGGGAACGGTGAGTACGCCCGCGTCGGCATCGCCGGGCTCGTACTTATTCCCGCCGTGATTTAGGGCCGTCCTCCGTGCCCGTCGCACCATGGTCCGTGCGGCGAGCTTCCACCCGAGCCCAGCGATCCCCCGTCGTGTGAAAACGGCCGCTGGCGGGAACGGGGCGACGTCTTTACGAGAGGACCGGGGAGCGCACCGAGCCCGCTGGGTGGCGCACCAACCAGGATGTGCCACGATCAGCCGAGAGACATGGCACGAGCGGGGGAGCGCGCGCGCGGACGCACCGCGGGAGGGGCGAGGGTGGTTACCCGGCGTGGTGCGTCTCGCCCTCTGGTCTCGATTCAACGATGGAGGACACGCTCGCTTCAGGCGGGCGGCGCTTCGTACGCGGGATCCTGACACAGCCCGCCCTTGTTTCCAAGTCCACCAGTGCCGCCGCATTGGACGAGCTACGGCATTGGCGGATGCATTCTGCGAGCTCGTCCGGGGCCGGGATGTTGATTTCAAGCACAATCCTCCTGGCCTGCACAAGGACCTCTGCGCGGCGGCGAGCAAGAGACCCAGTTGGCGTGTAAGATCGTAAATATATCTTGTGTCGTGCATCTCGACCCTGAGAAGTGTGAGCCTCTGCATAACGACATGTGCGCGCAGATCGGCAGTGTACGTTGATGTCCAGAGCACGATCTCCGCCCGCCTGATGCGAGACGTCCTGGAGAGGCTGGTCCGACATCATGTCATGCAGCCGAGGAAAATGCTCAGCGACGGCCGTCGGCTGCTAGTTGCTAACTCAGGCACTGGCGGCACCAACCTAGACTAGCAATGGGCTCGTCGACTCGACCGCGGCTCTCGTTTTGCGCTGCAAGTGGATGAGGCCTGAGTTGCGGGTCAAACCTTCTTACCAAATTAGGCAGGTAAATAGATCGGATTTCATGCCTGTGCACGCAGACTTGGACGGCTCATTCCGTGACCTCGACGAGCTCGAACATCTCGCCGAACATCCGAGTGATGTTCTGGTACAAACGGCGATGTGTGCGCAGGTGGCACAGACGGTAGGATGCAAAGATCTCGATTGCAGGGTTGAACTTGAAGAGCGCCAGCCGCTTCGACACTGGCATCTAAGATCAGCAACCGCCGAGAAGCGCAAACCCTCGCTGCGGTGGTCGTCTGGCCATCCCCATTTTAATTGCAAATATCACACATATATACATGTTCCATCAATGAATGTAGACGGCACTCAGTCAGAAGTGGAGAGGTTAGGATTGATAATGTGTGGAGCAGACTCGTGCTACACACATTCTTATTCCTATCCCCTTCAGTTCTGGATGTACGAGACTCGAGTGAACCCTGTGCGCAGGCCCTCATAGATATATCACGTAGCACCATGAGCTGGTACAAACCATCCACCTTCGTACATGTCCGATCATGCCGCATGCAGGAGCTGATGCGAAATTGGACTGGTTTAGCGGACGGAGAAGGACTAAGGGATTGTACAAGCGAGCGGGGGTCACGTAAATCTAGCGTCCAGAAGAGTTCGTTGGAGATGCCGCAGCCATGCAACAGCTGTTGCCATCACTGGCATCCTCCCACCAGTGAACCTGCAAGTCGCACAGCGCCCGCTGATGAACTCGGATACTCACAGCTCCGCACCAATTGTGTGCAGTCGGGTCTGGGACCCCAGCCGAGATACATCCTCGTACCTTCTTCCTGCCCCCCAAGGACCACCATCTGTCCCCACTTGTCCTTCTCGCGATGACACTTGCATGAACCTCTGGACTCCACCTACATTCCCTCGACGTCCTCACGAGTCTTGCCAAGACTTGTCTACCCTTCAAGTGCTCCCAGCTGTCCCACGGTTGCTAGGCACCGAGCACCAGGCAAATGTGCTTGTGTTCAGCAGGGAAGCGGTGTCGCGCCACCCACCCACCTGCTCCGAAGCTGCCCATCCGTGAGTTGTACCATGCCGTGGCAGCTGCGAGGTATGTGAGCACATGCACGCTCTCCTGATGCGGCTGACACAAAGCAACCAGGACGGACACTCTCACCGACGGAAGAGAGGCTTCATGAAGCCTTCCGGTGCACACTCCTGTTGCCCGAGGTCAAGCACGCAAGGACACGGATGGTGCGACAGCGAACCGCTGATGGCGAGGCCCGAGTTGGCCTCGAGGCCGAAGGGAGTGCATGGTGCTGTTGCTCAGGTGCGTGGCCGGCTTCTCCAAATTCTTTCATTGTCCTCGAATGAGCGCAATGAAATCTGCAGCGGAGGGATGGTAAGCTTCCTTTCCCAGATGTCTATTGTAGCAAGAACTGATCGCTCTGCCGCAACAGAGGCAACGCACTCGACCGGAGCGCACATCTTCCGCTGCCATGCCCAACCTCATTCTGCAGCTCTCACCGGACCTGCATTTGCGGTGGCAACGCGGAGGGCCAGGCATGACAAGGGACCGGGTAACCCGGAACACATTCATATATGTGCTCCCGGAACGGCGCAGGACGGCGGAGAGAGAACGGGAAAGAACACGGAGACATGGTACGCGCTGATTGCATGGTACCGTGACAGATATTCCATCTAACTCGATTTTTGCGATACATCTCTACATTTCGCATTTGACAAGTCGGCACAGGGTTGTACTCTGACCAGGGGGAGCGGCTGCGATCGGAGGGTGCAAGCAAGTAAGCATGGATGGTCGACAGTGGTGGAGTGCAGCAACGAAGCGGCAGCGCGGCACTCGACATCACCGGGAACGCCGATGCGCTAGGCGTCCATTTCCTGCGAAGTCGACTCCGAGCCGTATCTCCTCGCTCGCGCAAAAGAGGGAACACTGTGCGGGCCCTCAGTAGCCAGAAGTGCGCGCAGCACACACTGGCCAGGGACGATGAACGAGTTGTCGTGCGCGTGATGACAAGGTACGTACTGATCCATGTCTTTCATTCTCCGGCCGCTTGTCTGATAAGTGTGTGCATGTGGAGGTACAAAGATAGCGGCATTTGGCTGTACGCGAGCAAGAGCGCGGGTCAGAGAGGGATGGTCATGGCGGACACAAAGCAAAGTTGCACCTCGCGACTTCGCTTCGAAAGCAGTGACTTAGGCGCTGGTCTCCCTCACGCAACGTAAGTACATCCATTAACATTGTGGACCTCCTGCGCCTCGCGCGACTCTGCCGTCTTCTCGCGCGCTCGAGAAAAAGGGGCAAGAAACATTGGTGTGGTGTGCGGGTCGGTCACTCGGGACGCCCCCGCATCTCCGGAAGGCACACCATGGACAGTTTGTTTCCCAGACAAATTCGAGATCGCGCGAACTTACGAAGCCATCGGACACACGTGGATTGTCACGCGCACGAGTACGTACCTGATTTACCATTCATAGAGACAAACACCAACTGATCTGATGCTGAAAACGCAGTGGTGCGCCTCTCCCGGCTCGATTACGAGCATCCTCGTGAGCGGTGTTATTGGCAGCCTCGCGTCCAGTGTTGTCTGCTTCCCGGAGTGCGCACGGAGTTGCTGGGTGACCTTCATGCACACAGTTGAGGGCGGCCAAGTCGAAGACGCGAGCGCGGCCTCTGCGGGGCGAACAGGCGCGGCGGGTGCGTACTGCCGTTCTTGGCTTCCAACCGCGCGGCGTGCACTTAACTCACTTGCTCGGCTTTGCAGACAATAAAGAAAGAGAGAGCGTTTTCGTGTCGCAACGCCAGAGAGCAAGAGCACGCGCACACGAGGGAGAAGAGAGAAGGTGGGAGAGAGAGAGCTGGACGCGCGGCGCAGGATTCACGCCACATTCGAGTAGACGCCCAATATCTGCACAGGGCGCGTGCGAGAGTTAGTTGCTCACTCGTTCCTTCGTTCTCCATGCTACGACCTTGTCCCTTGCGTATACCCCCTCAGTAGAGTATGTAGAAGTTTTGAATACGACGACGTCGGTTTTACAACGGTGCAAAAGTGTCTCTCGGCCCATGTCCGCCACTGGTACTAACACCCACCGGCCTCCAAGTACTAGGACTTCACCAGTCACCAAGTAGGACCTCACCATCCACGCAGAGTCCGCGAATCCATCTGGGAGATCCAGTATCGCCCCGAGATACTCGAGCAGCCGAGATCCGTGCGCTCTTTGCGGCATCTTCCTGTCTCGTCTCAAACCACCACGTCCTCTTGCCCCGCGACCGCTCCGCGCGATGCCCAACTCGCCACCCCATCTGACGTCGGGGTACACACGGCTCCTCATGGGAGTAGCACCGCGACTTCCGAATACGTGCGTGCGTGCGGTGTATTTGCCCGTCGGACGTGCACAATTGGGCCCCCGGTGCGCAAACACGGTGCCCGTAGCAACGGAGCGCGCGGGCTGCTGCACTGATCCCGCGGCCGGTGGCGTCTCAATTGCATAGGTCATTGACCCCCTTGAAGCAGCACCATCACGCGTCAAAGCGCCCTGGCCTGGGGGAATCAATAAAAGGACGGACGCGGGCGAGAGAGGCCCCCCATCGTGCACTCTGGCTGTATCGACGTACTGAGGCAGGATCCTCTTCACACTTGTAGTCTGCCGGCATTCCCCCCTCGCTTCCTCAGCACCTCCACTCCTTCCTACGCTTTACGTCCATACACGTCGCTTTATTACTCCCAGTCATGATCTTCAACAAGAGCGTCATTGCCACTGCCGCGCTGTGCCTCGGGTTCGCCCTCCAGGCGCACGCGCACGCAGCGATCTCGCCCGCCCTCGGCGTCAAGGGCACCCCCGTGCGGAACGACGCGCAGCGCCCGCAGAAGAACAGCGAGTGCGGGAACATCGACATCGCGAAGAACTTCGACTCCTCCACCGCGATCCAGGCGGCTGCGAACGGCTCGTTCGTCGCCACTATCACCAACTTCAACGGAGGGATCGACGGGTCGCGGCAGGCGACTGCCCTCGTCGACCCTACCGGCACGGGCAAGTCGTTCGTCTCTGCCGACGTCCTGCAGAACGGGGACAAGGTCAGTGGCTCGACCCTACTGCGCGTGCGAAGTCTCACCATATGAATTCCCGCAGAACCCGAACGACAACGGCTCCCAGCAGCTCGTCGTGCAGCTCCCTGCGGGCAGCACGTGCGCCGGCGCGCG